ACTAATTAAATGAATAATTTTTATTAATACGGAGGAGATGGATTGTTTAAGTTTAGAGTTTGGAGTTAGAGATATTAATATTTGTTTACTTGTATTTGAATATTAGCCTAGGTTTGGTTTGGGAAGTCCGGGGGGTGGGGGGATGGGATATAACATTGTGTAATATCTGTGATGTATTTCTTTTTTTTTATGATGAAAATATTAAATTTTATATTGAGAAAAAAAAAATATTTATATATTCTATTATTACACATAACACTGTACTACGTACTACTATATAACATAAAAAAGGTACAAATACATTAAGTATCTTTTTACAGTAAGATTCCAATAGTCATTTAATTCTTAAAACACAACATTTAATTATTTCCAATTTAATACAGTGTAATACTTATTTCTTAAGAATATGCAGGGCCCATTTCCTCCCAGCCTGAAATTTGCATGCAAGACTCAGATCTGTTTTTCTCAAGGTCCATAAATAGGCAGCATACTAGAAAAGGAATGAAAACTTTACACTCCCTTCAAAAGCACAGCTTGAAGTGTATCAGCCTGGGGAAGTGTGCATTGGAAGGAAGTACAAAGAGAATACTTATGTTCTGCATAATAACCTGTCATGCTGCCTTATCATAGACAGGTAAGTAAGAACTCTAATCCCACAGGATTCTTACACAGAAGGGCCATGGTTAAGGCTCTCCTTAGGGTGCCAAGATAATTTTCTTAAGATGAAAATGAAGACTTTATGCATTATCCATATTACAGCTGGGATAAACCTGCTGAGCTACAGTAAACTGATTTTAGTATAATGCTTTAGAAAAATAATCAAACTTACCTCTTTCTGGCTGTATATTTTTGGCCAAAATTTCAGCAGTCCTCTGATAACCTGGGGTGGCAAAAATGAAAACTCATCAGAGCATATCGATGAAAACTGATAATGGTACTTGAATGATGACAATACTGTCTTTAGATTTACAAAATTCAATCATTTTGTTCAATGTATTTGACATAGATGTATCTTCAAAAATGGATTTTGTCCCAACTATATTGCAAAGTTTTTTCATTTTACATTTTTAAACGAGAGATAACAGATTAATGAATTACTGGATTCACTCATCATATTACCCATAATAGGTTAACAATGATTTCTTGAATTTAAGGATACAGTGAGGGAAAAAATGATTTCATCCCCTGCTGATTTTGTATGCTTGCCCACTGACAAAGAAACAATCAATCTATAATTTTAATGGTAGGTTTATTTTAACAGTGAGAGAATAACAACAAAAATCCAGAAAAACGCATTTCAAAAAAGTTATAAATTGATTTGCATTTTAATGAGTGAAATAAGTATTTGATCCCCTATCAATCAGCAAGATTTCTGGCTCCCAGGTGTCATTTATACAGGTAACGAGCTGAGATTAGGAGCACTCTCTTAAAGGGAATACTCCTAATCTCAGCTTGTTACCTGTATAAAAGACACCTGTCCACAGAAGCAATCAATCAATCCATCAGATTCCAAACTCTCCACCATGGCCAAGACCAAAGAGCTGTCCAAGGATGTCAGGGACAAGACTGTGGACCTACACAAGGCTGGAATGGGCTACAAAACTATTGCCAAGCAGCTTGGTGAGAAGGTGACAACAGTTGGTGTGATTATTCGCAAATGGAAGAAACACAAACTAACTCAATCTCCCTCGGTCTGGGGCTCCATGCAAGATCTCACCTCGTGGAGTTTCAATGATCATGAGGAATCAGCCCAGAACTACACAGGATGATCTTGTGAAACCAATGATCTCAAGGCAGCTGGGACCATAGTCACCAAGAAAACAATTGGTAACACACTACACCGTGAAGGACTGAAATCCTGCAGAACCCGCAAGGTCGCCCTGCTCAAGAAAGCACATGCACAGGCCCGTCTGAAATTTGCCAATGAACATCTGAATGATTCAGAGGAGAACTGAGTGAAAGTGTTGTGCTCAGATTAGACCAAAATCGAGCTCTTTGGCATCAACTCAACTTGCCTTGTTTGGAGGAGGATGAATGCTGTCTGTAAGCCCAAGAACACCATACTCACCATCAAACATGGAAGGGGAAACATTATTCTTTGGGGGTGTTTATCTGCTAAGGAGACAGGACAACCTCACTGCATCAAAGGGATAATGGACAGGACCATGTACCATCAAATCTTGGGTGAGAACCTCCTTCCTTCAGCAAGGGCATTGAAAATGGGTCATGGATGGGTATTACAGCATGGCAATGACCCAAATACATGGCCAAGGCAACAAAGGAGTGGCTCAAGAAGAAGCACATTAAGGTTCTGGAGTGGCTTAGCCAGTCTCCAGACCTTAATCCCATAGAAAATCTGTGGAGGCAGCTGAAGATTCAAGCTGCCAAACATCAGCCTCGAAATCTTAATGACTTGGAGAGGATCTGCAAAGAGGAGTAGGACAAAATCCCTCCTGACATGTGTGCAAACCTGGTGGCCAACTATGAGAAACATCTGACCTCTGTGACTGCCAACAAGGGTTTTGCCACCAAGTACTAAGTCATGTTTTGCAAAGGGGTCGTATACTTATTTCACTCATTAAAATGCAAATCAATTTATAACTTGTTTGAAATGCGTTTTTCTGGATTTTTTTGTTGTTATTCTGTCTCTCACTGTTAAAATAAATCTACCATTAAAATTATAGACTGATCATTTCTTTGTCAGTGGACAAATGTACAAAATCAGCAGGGGATCGTTTCCACACTGTAACTGACTGAGTTTATACAACAAATGCAGACATCAATTTAGAGCTCAGTCAGACATAATGCCTGCATGTAACCAGTGGTGGGATTCAAATATGTGAACAACCGGTTCTCTGTGTGGATGCCGCTTCCGGAAGTCCATTCTGGGCCTGGGCAACCGGTGCGAACTGGCTGAATCCCACCACTGCATGTAACATTTTTAAAAAATAAAATCCCCACATATTTTCTAGAACAGGGGTCCCCAACCCCTCTGGCTGTTGGGAAGTGGACCACACAGCTGGACATGAGCAGCAGGAGAGTAAGCAAAATCTTTGGCCCATGGAAAAACTGTCTTCCCAAAAACCGGTCTGTGGTGCCAAAAAGGTTGGGGACCGCTGCTCTAGAATTTCTATTGCCTGTCCTTTCCCTATTTAAGTATATTTCTCAATCATTCCTTAACTAGACTATTCTGTGGAAAACACAATTCACAGAAAAAATATATCTGTTGCATTAATATAACAAACTGTATACTGGTAATTACTGCAGTTATAAATGACTGGATAAGTTGATTCAATATGACAGCATAAGGCTGGTTTTAGAAATATCTTAGAATTAAAATACACTTCATAACTAGTAGTAGAAAGCCAATGACTTGCTTTAGAAGCAAAGCACTTCTAAAGTGAAACCAATGAAGATACCAGGATTTGCCATGGACAATAAGTGTCTTCCATTAATTTCTGGGGCACATGCATGGAAAAGTCTTCTATTCTTATTCTATTGATACACTATAAATAATGATAGGATGTTCTATATAAGCTTTATATGAATTGTGATTTCTTGCTGAAAACTCTAGCTGCTGAATCACATTGATACAGTGACTTGGATAATCATTATTATTTACTAGACCTAAGTTTGCTAGATCCAAGTTTGAGCTATATTGTAAAAGTTCAAAGAAAGACAAAAATAACAATACTTACCGGCTCTGTTAATGTCATATCTTTTTCCAAGAACTGAACAACACAGTATGCCAGCTTAAAAAAAGTTTTTGAAAATTCATAATTCATTACAGCATTATTAAATTCTCATAATTTCAACAAGATATTATCTGTAACATATTCTTTGAATGGTCATCTGTCATTCATATGTATGTCTATGAAGATTCTCATTCATCCAGGTCACAGTTGTCCCAAATATGCTTTTTCACAAGGCAACTAGACTTTCTTGTTGTTATTTTTTTTTGAAGACGTTTCGCTTCTCATCCAAGAAGCTTCTTCTGTTCTGACTGGATGGTGGGGAATGGACTGAGACTATCATGGTAATGAAGAAATGACTGCTACAAACCAACCAACCTCAGTCCAGACCACATATATTCCATGCTGCCTGACCACTACCTATTTTTAATACAGTGAAGGTTTCTACAGAAAAAATCATGGCTGTGCCATGGGTTCACCTGTGTCCCCCATTGTGGCCAATCTCTACATGGAAGAGATAGAAACCAAAGCCCTAAACTCCTTCACAGGAATTCCACCCACATCCTGGTATAGATATGTGGATGATACTTGGATCAAGATCAAAACATAGGAATTGGAAGTATTCACCAAACATATCCACTCGGTAGACAGATACATAAAATTCACAAGGGAAGAGTTTAGCCTTCCTGGACTGTGCAGTACACATTAAGGAAGACAGAAACCTTAACATTGAAATTTACAGAAAACCTACACACACAGATCAATATTTACATTTTGATTCTCACCACCCACTGGAGCACAAAATGGGAGTTATCAGAACCCTACATCACCAAGCTGAAGGCCTGCCTACCAGCAAAGATGGGAAAGAAAAAGAACTAAAACACATCAAGGAAGCCCTCAGAACTTGTGGCTATCCCAAGTGGGCCTTCATCAAATCCCCAAAAAGACCCAGCAGGAGCTCCTCCATAACAGACAAAGAAGAAAATAATAAATGAAGCAACACTGGCATTCCATATGTTGCAGGAATATCGGAAAAGCTCAGGAGGGTCTTCAGCCAACACAACATACATGCACACTTCAAACCCAAGAATACATTAAGGCAGAAGCTTGTCCATCCCAAGGATGAAACACCCAGACACAAACTGACCAATGTGGTACATGCATTACAATGCAGTGAGCCATGTGCAGATCTGTACATTGGGGAAACAAAACAACCACTTCATAAACGTATGGCACAACACAGGACAGCAAACCCATCAAGACAAGATTCAGCAGTCCACTTGCATTTAAAAGATAAAGGCCACTTTTTCGAAGACAGCAAAGTCCACATTTTGGACAGAGAGGACCACTGGTTTGAGAGGGGTCAAAGAGGCCATCTATGTCAAAACTGAACAGCCCTCTTTTAACAGAGGGGGAGGGATACGACATCATCTATCTCCAGTCTACAACATAATCCTTTCAACAGTTCCAAGAAGGCTCAAACACCCATTTGCACTACTCAGGTGACTCTGATGACACACCTCCAGGTGGCCTCAATGACTCTCTAAAGAATGCAAATGAGCGGCTGTCTGCAAGGGGTATAAAAATCCTTCCATTCCCCACCGTCCAGTCAGAGCTGAAGAAGCTTCTTGGATGAGAAGTGAAATTTCTTCAAAGAAAAACAAGCAAGTCCAGTTGCCTTGTGAAACAGAATCTTTGGGACAGATACATACATATGGTTTTTCGCCTGCACTGAGCCTCTTTTGGAACTTTATAGACTGTACAAACATTTGATGGCTGTCCCATCTTCTCTGAATACCAAGCATATCGAGGCATGAACTCTTTTAATTTCAAAGACTGGTACAATAATCCCTTCGATGAAGAGGAAAAATTGATGTCACTGGTTGTATGAATTCAGAGTACACTTCGTTAATATTTTATTTATATTATATAAATGGAATATATATATATATATATATATATATATATGTATATATGGAATAAATATAATAAATCTTCCATTTTGAAAAATAAAGACTCTTATAAGCATCATGTAGCACAGGATCACAATGAATGCCACAAACTCAGTTGTCAAGCACAAAGAGGAACATTTCCCAAGTGCCACACGCTGATTGCATCATCAGATGACTCTCAAAGGGCAGATAATTACTATTTAGTATTATTGGTTAATACTCTGTTTAACTCTTCTATCAAACACCTTGGGAAGCAGAGATTTCAAGCTATGCCCGTAGGAGCATAGAGGTAAGTTATTTTTTAAATTACAATATACAATCAATAATAGATACTATAAATTCAAAAGTACAAGTAGCTGAGGAAAAACATTTATTTATTTTACAGTATTGGTTCATAATTAGCAGTGTGGAAATAAATATTCATTCTGATTTTCCACTGTGTGAAATATATTAAAGTTAAAGTTATGTATCTTTAAATAATGACTTCTGCCCCTTAAAAATTCAACTTGTGCTATTAAATAACCACAACACTATGTGAGCTTCAACATGAAGTAATATTTTATTTCCTTGGATCAACATACCTGTGCGTGAAATAAAGCTAATCCCTTTGCAGTATGCATGGGAATAAGAACCTTCAGAAGGAACTGTTTATGTTCAGCTTTCAGTGGCAATGCAAAACCATTGATAATACTGAGAAGAAAAAAACAGATTCAATATGAAAACTTACTATATACTACAGCAATCGATGTAATAAATGTGTATTTTTTAAGTTTACATTTTATTTTGAAGATTGTGAACAACATTATTTCTATAAATACAGAGAACAAGACCAGCTCTAATTTCCACAGGGTAATAAAGACCAGTGACTTTTCCAATCTTGTTGCTGAAATTAGTAGCTACAAATAAGCAAATCCTACATGCTGCTTGTTAGTATCCACTACTTTGGCTGCTTGGTTCCCAATATTAGCACCTACTGCACATTCCACCAACCAAGAAAAAAGTGCTTTAAGGTGGATAGAAATTAAATCACTGCAGATTCAGTTCTCCAATTTGCACCAACTTGAGGTCATTTCTAAGACTTTCACTGTATGAAAAAGTTTACAAATAAAAAAAAACACATTTGGAACTGCAGGAAAATTGTAACTGTTCCATTAAATGTAAAATTAATTACATGCAGTTTATGGACCTCATACAACTTTATGCGTGGGGATTTCTGCTAATACCATGAGATTTTCATTTTCTTTTTTCCTCCCCTTTTTTCTGGTCATATCTATCAAACCCTGTTTGAAAGTAAAAAGGGAAAGGAAGGTATCAGGTTAGCAATATCTGTTCTACAGGCAGTCTCGCTTAATGACCAGTTGCTTAGCGAACGGTTGAAGTTACAACAATCCCCAAAAAGTTACTATGACCAAGATTAAATGTTTTGGCATCCATCCCCTCTCAAACGATCATGTGATTGCATTTTGGACTCTCGGCAGCCAGCTCTCATTTATATCCATTTGCAGCATCCCATGGTCACATGTCCACAATTTACTAGTTTCTTACAGGAAATCAGTGTTTACTTCTAGTTTCTAGCAAAAATCACCCATTGCAAACAATAGGCTTGTTTTATGATTACTACAAAAAAAAGACATAAATCAGGATGGTCATGTGATGACCTGTTAAAAACTGGCTCAACTTACAACTATAATTGTGGGCTCAATTAGTATTCAGTCAAGGTCTATCTACATTGCAGACACATAACTATGATATTGCATACTGCCTAACATATTTTAATTGTTTGTTTATAGATGATGTCCCCATATGGCAATTCTGCAAGTCATCTGAACTTCACAGTACACCTCTTTAATGTTTTCTGGAAGCATATTTACTCAAATGCTTGATTATCTAAGGCCAGTAACAATGTCCATATGGAATCTTCTTGCAAAGCTCTTGGTCCTCCCATGAGTACATTAACTCCAAGAGCTCATTCCAGTTACAGCAGCTTTATCTCCCCGGCAGGCCTGATAATGACTGGGTTGGTGACAATGACTGTAACCACTGGTTACAGTCATTTAAAACAAAAAACAAAAAAAACCTGATGCAAACCTTGGTCCTTCCTAACTGCAATGAAAAAATCAACCTACCTTCCCAGTATCTCAAGTAGCTCAGCAACACCATTGAAATGTTCTGTTTCATATATAAACCTGTTTTAAAAAATTGCAGTTAATGTTTCACCAAAAAGTGAAGAGGAAAATACAGTTAAATATTAAAAAGTTCTCCACATGACAGTTGAGGGATTAGTATTTTTCCTGAAAACTCAGGAAAAGCAGAACGCACCTTCCATTTGATGTAAGAATTTTGCCTTAAAATAGCTATTATACATCATGGGGAAAATCCAAAGCAGATCACAACAACCCTCCAGAACAGAGACGGGTAACCTACAGCCCACAAATGGTCCCAAACAGGCCTACTTCTAACTCCAGAGCTTCCTCAGAATCCAGGCATAAAAAAAGATGCTTTAACCTTCTGAATCCTTTGTAACCTTTACAACTAAAAAACCCTCAAGTAATTAAGTCAATTTGTCCTGTGGGAGAGTTGAGGGCAAACTAATTACCCAAAGCCTTTCAGAAGTTTATCTCCAAATATGTTATTAGTGCATTAAGAACACGTTGTGGGTTATTAATTCTGTACTTTTTAAAGTACAAATTTAATATATGCAAAAGTTGGTAGTAAGATTGTAAACAATATATATTATACCTGAGAAAAATATTGTTGATTTGTTTCCTGATGAATGCTCTTAATCCAAGGAATTTGCCATAAATTCGATGAAGTACTGTTTTTAGAAAGTCACGCTCTCGTGGATCTTCACTGTCAAAAAGCTCCAATAGCTATGAATAAAGTATGGTTTATTACTTCAATAAGCACTTATTGGTATACAAATTCAACCAAGTTTATTCCACATAAACTAAGGTAAGTTCAAGATGTCTTCAACAATACAATGCCAACAATAAACAATTTGCAAATGTATGGCAGGGAGTTCATAGGATAAATCTTTCAGAAGGTCAAGATTAGCAAGTGCTTAGATAGAAATACCAACAGTCTTACTGGTCATAGGCAAACAAATTCAATAACAAGGATATGCTAAACTGAGACTAACCAAACCATAGCTACTGTGTGGTGGCACTGTAATTATTGCTAACAAATGCAGTGTGTATTGCCTCATCTTAAAAATAAGGAACAGAATATTATTTATGTAATAATGCATTTCTATACCTTAATGTTTACATAGGATATGCAAAGCCCACTATACAGTTATCTTTGCCATAATTTTTTTTAAAAAAACAATGTAATACAGAATGACAATTCAATAGTGCCAATCTTACATGTCTTACAGGTTACTCTTTTATTTCTCCCTCTGTTTAACACAGGGGTGTCAAACTGCCGGCCCGTGCGAAACCGCACCCACCCCATTGCCGGCAATGGCAAAAAAAGTCGCGATTTGTCGTGACACGTCACGTGACGTTGCGAGTTTGACACCCCTGGTTTAACAAAATAAGGAATGCTGGCTTAAACTCTGAGCTCTGATTTGAGGGAAACCACTAATAGAGTCAATTTTTATCTGTGCTCCTCCTGAAACACACCAAATTGGGCTGCACTGTTTGTAACATATTCTTCAACAGTAGTTAGAAGGGAAATGCGTGCATACTCTCCAATTGTGGGAGTGGGATGTATGGGCAGGGGATTGAACTAGAAGGCCGCCAAGGTCCCTTCCAACCCTATGACTCCATGTACTTTGCAACAGTATGGGAAGAAAGATACATAACCGCTTTGCAACTCAAAAGGAGTATCTTCAAAAAATGTCATTTCCTCCCTTTTTATAGTTTATGCAGTAAATATGCCTGTCTAAAAATATTCCTATAAAACAAAATGAATCTTCCATCCGCAAAAGAAACATTCACATTAAAAAATATCAATCTAAGCTAAAACTATATATTTCAGATGAATATTTACCTGCTGTACAAATTTCTGGTCAATATGACGTTTTGCAATGCTGGGTTGGAAATCAGGACTTTCTAAAAACCTTAGTAAAAATTCATACACCAGCTATGAAAGAATAAAATAAATGTTGTAAAAAAAAAAAAACCTTTCATATGCAATACATTTCATATATATTGGCAAAGCCCATTAGAAAATACAGAAATCCATTTCAATAAAATTCAGCATGCTAATATTAGCATATTAACTAGCATATTAACAGTTCAGGCTCTTATGACCCACTACTATAATCTTTAAGCTGCAAGAATGGTTTCTCTCAAGTCCGTTGCACAAAACAGATACGAAACCAGACCTGCTCTGAGGTTTCCATGTTATTTTCTTCCGCATGATCTCTTGCATCTCTTCCTATTTATTACATAGCCAATTCTTCCTTTTTTAGTGCTATTTTTTTTTGTATTATAAGTGCACCAGGGTTAACACTAACCAGTTACAGTATCTTTGAACAGAGTTCAAAGTATCTTTGAACAGAGGTCATAAAGAGTTTTAAAAAGACGTTTTAAAAAGATTAATTACTGGAGGTAATTCCATGCTTATTGTTTGCAGTTGTTTTCAGGCAATTATGCTTCTTAAAGGGTTTTTTTTAAAGCATGCTGGCTGGGGGAGAAATCTGGGGATTGAAGTCCATACATCTTAAAGCTGTTCAGGTTGAGAAACCAAACCAAAAGAAGCTTACTATCATCACCACCCAATATGAATCCCACAAACATCTTACCAACCTTCCTCAGGGCAATTATACTTAATTTTTTTTCTAGAAGAGCCAATAAAAGATTTATTAAGCCTTATTATGCAGAGGTGAGTTTGCTTCTACTCACAGTTGCTGCGCCAATACTAAATGCAAGTTAAAAAACAAAGAATTCAATCTAGTTAAGGCCAGAGGACATAATCAGTAGCATCCAAGGCAGGAACAAGTTATAGGTTGAGGATAAAGAAGAACCAGGGTTTAATTTGGTAACAGTAAAACCAGTAAGTTTACTGATAGCAGGTCCTGCATTTTAGAAGGTAGGACTGAATGAAAAAGAAAAAGGGGAAATGTAAATCAAACAGGAAAAATAACATTTCAGAACCCTGGAAGGTAGAAATCAGGTGACCATATGGAATGATTTGAAAACCGATTCATGAGCATATAGAAAATGTATATATTGCATTTGCAGAACTGATGGTAGGTGACAAGTACAAAATTTTAGGGTTACCTGAGCTGAAATCCGGATGACCACAAGTACAGCAGCAAGACATAGAAAACATGACTTTGTTTGATATTGCATCCGATATCTGTAATCCTAATAAAGCTGGCATGAATATCAACAACGAATCTGAAAAAGTTACCTGTATATGGGGCCAAGAAGCTTCTAATGTAGGCTCATCCTCTTCTGGATCAAAATCAGGATTTTCACTTGGAGGAAGTGTTCTAAAGATATTAGAGCTAATCTAGGGGAACATAGTCACATTTTAAAAGCTATTTTCAATCTGATTTTATTTAATATGATACATAACAATACTCACATGCAACTACAAAATACTTTTAAGACCATTGTTTCATCTAGTCCAATATATACAGAATAACACAGTTGGAAGGGACCTTGGAGGTCTTCTAGCCCAACCCCCTGCTCGAGCAGGAGAACCTATACCATTCTGGGAAAATGGCTCTCCAATCCCTTTTTAAAAGCCTCCAGTCATGGAGCACCCACAACTTCTAGAAGCAATCCATTCCACTGATTGTCAGGAAATTTCTCTTAGTTCTAGATTAGATCTCTCTCTGATAATCTTCCATCCGTTATTTCTTGTCTTGCCCTTAGGTGCTTTGGAGAATAGGTCAAGCCCTCTTCGCTGTGACAACCCCTCAAATATTGGAAGACTACTATCATGTCACCCTATTTCTCTTTCTTAGTCTAGACATACCTAGTTGCTACAACTATTCATATAGTTTAGCCTCCAGTCCCCTAATCATCTTTGTTCCTCTTTTCTGTATTCTCTAGACCGGGGGTCCCCAACCCCTGGTCCGTGCACCAGCATCAGGCCGTGCAAACAAGCAAAGCCCCATCCATGGGATGCAGGCAGCACATGAAACCACGCCCCCTCTGGTCTGCGGAAAAATCTTTCTCCACAGAACCGGTCCCCAGTGCCCAAAAGGTTGGGGGCCTCTGCTCTAGAGTCTTAGTATCTTTTTTTTTTATTGTGCTGACCAGAACAGGATGCAATATTCCAAGTGTGGTCTTATTTTATTTATTTTATTTATTTATTTATTTATTGGATTTTTACCCCGCCCTTCTCCTTGCGGACTCAGGGCGGCTAACAGCCTGATAAAAACAAATACAAAAAATACCAAAATACTATCATTAAAACATAATTAAAAGGAAATATTAGATTGGCCTTTGTTATTTTAAAATTATATTTAAAACCCCGCTAAAAATTANGCCATTACCCCTTACCCCTTATCCATGCAGTATAAAGTGGGACAAACACTTCATGTGATCTTGATACTATCCCTCTCTTGATATAGCCTAGGATATAGGTGGCGAACCTATGGCACGCGTTCCAGAGGCGGCACTCAGAATCTTCTCTGTGGACACGCATGCCGTCGTCCCAGCCCTGCCACCCCCTGTGGCCCCCTCCTCACCAGCAGCCCCGCCAGAGGAGAGTCACCCCTTGAGCAGTCTGCACAGAGCAGAGCAGCCAAGGACATGGCAGCCGGGAGCGAGGACAAGACTCTGCCCTCGCACCCCATCACGTGCAGATGATGCTGCAGGGCACAGACAGAGGGCGTGGTCGCCATGATGCTACTGGGCCGCCTGGGCGATCTGCTGTGGCAGGCCGTGGAGGCAGTGGGTGGCCCTGCGGAAAGGAGAGGCAAGGCGGGGCAGGAGCGAGGAGGTTGTTGGGCACTCGGTCTCTAAAAGGTTGCCATCACTGGCCTAGGACTACATTGGTTTTTTTTAGCAACTGCAGCATTTTAAGTGGTTATATGGTTTCTACTCATTGGCAATAGCCTCTCCCAACATTGCTATCTATTTGGCAGACTGTGAACTAAACATCATAATTACACGTATGCTCTCTGCAGTTCTGGGCATATCTAGGAAAGCCAGAAGACTGTAGGCAAGGATTTATTCTCAGCAAAAGAGCATCAATCAGAAACAGATTTGCAACACTGAGGATGAAATGGTTGATGAAATTAAGTATGTAATCTCGGAGTCACTATCTTCATATCCTGATGCATCAAACTACCTTATAAGAAAGAACATTTGAGACTGCAGGAGCAAGTATCTATACTTCTGCAAAGGACAATAACACCAAGGGAAGAACAGAGACTAAAGAAATCATCAATATTGTTGGTTTCAATACTAGAGAAAAAAATGATATTGCTGGAAGTAACAGATTATAGCATACAGATAACTCCATAGTAGATGTAAGAAAAGGAATGGAAAATTATTCTGGTAGGAATATTGTGATGATCAAAACAATTGATTGTAGGTAATATTAAGAACTTTTATACACACGGTCAAGACAACAAAACAATTAAAAAAACTGATTGTTTCATGCAGAGGAGTATTCAATAACCTAACTGTTAAAATGATATAAATGATGTCCATTTATAACAGGTAGCATGTAGAAATCCAATAGACACTCTTAAATTTGGTAAAGCTCACTGGTATCAAGAACAACACTGTGATGGGAAGTAATTATAGATACAAGGTCTCACATTAAGCTAACAGTAATTATTGGAATGCTAATGACTGGATTTCTCGGTTATTACAAAATAATCCACAGTTTCTCCTCATGAGAAAGAGAGAGATGCATTATTTGAATCTGGTGAGAAAACCTTAGTAGCAGTAATCTCCACAAGAAGACTTTTTACAAGAAACTTTAAATATTTCTTTTCTTCTGCTAATAATTTCTATTACTTGTAGGGGTCTTTTAACTGAAGGACTAAAATACTTTTAACTACAGAATACCTGTATTTAGAAGAACGCTAAATACAGTTATTTTGAAAACTGATAATAATTGTAGAAACTTTATCCAACACTGCTACGTCAAAACTTTATAATTATATAAGATGATTATATAACTAAACATGAATCAATGAAATGAATTTGCTTTTATAATTAATTTTATGTGATATTTTGCAGATTAGTTCAGGCTTACTTGGTAACAGATATGCAAAGCAGCACTTGCACTACACAACAAAATTTTAGTGTCTTTACTAAGAATTTTTTGATTCCTGAGAACACTGACTACTATCTCTGGTCTACTACATTCCAAAATTACAAATGTCTCTCATGAGGTTCATGAGAAAATTTGAAATTTTCTTGCATGTAATTCTATTATCTGAATGTCACAAAAGCATTTAACATAACTCTTCTACGATAAAAGACGTACAAACAAAATCTCCTCAAATTAAGCAACGGCAGTATGTAAACTGCTACCACTATAGTCATCGAGTGTCTGGAGAGTGTCCCCAAGAATAGTTCTCCATTTTCTTATTTTTTTTATTCTGTATTATCAATTTACTTTGTTTGTTCTGAATTCAAGTACATCAGCTTGGAAGTTCTACCTGTGCAAAGAGGACTTTGTACTGGGACTCTGCCTACTTACATAGAACATGGAATAACAGGGTTGGAGCGGATCTTGGCGGTCTTCTAGGCTCTGCTAAACCATTCTAGCCAAATGGTTGTCCAACCTCCAGTCATGGAGCACTCACAACTTCTGCAGGCAACCTTTTCCAGTAATTAATTGTTGTCACTGATGGGATATTTCGCCTTAATTCTAGGTTGGATCTTTCTTGTTAAGCTTCCATCTGTTACTTCTTATCTTACTCTCAGGTGTTTGGGAGAATAGGCTGAGCCCTCCTCTCTGTGACAGCTCTTCAAATATTGGAAGACTATTATCATGTCACCCCTAGTCCTTCTCTTCGTTAGACTAGACATTCCCAGTTCCCGCAACCATTCATTGTATAGCCTTCAGGCCCCTAATTACCTTTGCTGCTCTTCTCTGCACTTTTTCTAGAATCTCAACATATTTTTTGTATTATGGTGACTGAAACTGGACATATAGTATTCCAGGTGTGGTCTTACCAGTGCAGTATAAAGCAGTACTAACACAATCTTGATCTTGATACTATCCCTTTGTTGATTCACCCTAGCAGTATATTGGCCTTTTTGGCAATTGTGGCACACTGCTGGCTCATACTTAAGTAGTTCTCCTCTAGGACTCCTAGATCCCTTTCACAGTTAGTGCTGTTAAGCCAGGTACCACCTACTCTATACCTGTGCATTTGGTTTTTCTTTCTTAAATGTAAGATCTTACTTTTGAATTGCACCACTGAATTGCATTTTGTTACATAGGGCCCAGTGTTCAACTCTGTCAAGATCCTTCTATATCTTGAGTCTATCTTTTAAAGTGCTGGCTATTCCCCCCCCCCCACTTGATATCAATTGCAAATTTAATGAGTTCCCCTTCAATCCCATCATTTAGATCATTATGAAGATATTGAAGAGTAATGGATCTAAAACAGAACCTTGAGATACCCCATTGCATGCTTCCTTCTATTTAGATGAAATTCCATTCAGGACTGCACTTCTCCCATTGTCAAGTTACAAGTATGTTTCAGCTTGGGAAACTATGGATACTGATTTGATGAGCAAAATATTCCACCAATAGCAGCTTCTTGGAAGGTTTTCAGTTCAACCAAAACAAAGAAGAGCTATATATTAACAACTATTCCCATCACTAGGCTTGTATTTATTTTCAAAGTAACCACTTTTAGTAAATGAGAACATTATTCCACATCTATTTCAGTGTGAAGAAACTAATAAGTAATGACAATGAAACCTGATAACTGCCATGTTTGCAAAACAAAAAAGTTTTTTGTGAAATGTCTAAAATTTAGAGCCATTTAAATAAATGAAAACATCACCATGTTTTAGTATAAATGTAGTTTACTAAAACTCAAATCTGTCAAGAACTTGTTTTCTCAAGTGCTGAAATTAATGCTGCTACATATTTAGAACAGACCATTTGACCACCATTCTCCTACACAGACCACCTTTATAGCATATAGCATCAAGCTAGAAATGGTCTATTAACCTCTACTTTCTTTCTTTTTTGCAATTAATCCATTGAAGATTTAGAACTAGCAGAGGAATTATACAGTACATGATTTGGATGAGGGGATAGATGAGGAATTCATCAAATTTGCAGATGACACCAAGCTGGCAGGAATAGCCAACACTCCAGAAGATAGGCTGGAGAAGGATCTTGACAGACTTAAACATTGGGCGCTATCTAACAAAATGAAATTCAATAGTGAAAAAAATAAGGTTCTACATTTAGGCAAGAAAAACCAAATGCACAGGTACAGTATAGGTCAGTGGTGGCAAACCTATGGCACGGGTGCCAGAGGCAGCACTCAGAGCCCTCTCTGTGGGCACGCA